CAAATACAGCAAGTCTGGCGATCGTTGATTTCAACAGCTGTGTTTGCTCACCTCGACAGAGCCAGCCCCATATAAAGAGCCGTCAGAGGATCAGTCGGGTGAGTGGCTCCCATTCCGATGCCTGTGGCTGAACTAACGCCTCTTTTGTTTCTTTCTTCTCTCTCTCTCTCTCTCTCTCTCTCTCTTTCTCTCTCTCTCTCTACTTTTACAGGAAACTAAGCCTGCCTTATTCCCTGGGCCAACTTGCCTCTAAGCTGAACCGCCACTCCCATCAACAGTCAAGAGAGAGACAACGCTTCTTAAATGCTTTTAAAGAGACTATGTGTCCTCTTTTGAGAAATTATTTATTTCTTTTGTTGACTGTTTACGTCGTTAGACTTAATAAAAGTCCTGAACTGAACTTTCTTCTGCTCGTGCTGTCCCGCTCAGCAAATGCCCCACAGTACAAATAAGTATACAAGTATGAACCTGGGTATAACATACAACACTAAAGACTCACAAACACAAAAAACAGCTGAATAGCATCAATAGGAATAACAGTACAATCAAAACAAAGGAATTTCAATTCTCGCGTTTTGCGTGACGTCACACAGTATAGTTGCCACCATTTTGAGGACCGAATCAGAGAGTGACTGTGCGATGCCTTTAATTTAGTTTTGTGAATGATTCACCTGCAAGACGCGACAGATGCAATAGCGAGAGACTACACAGACCTTTAATTGAGTGTTTTCAAAGTCCAGGCTTGGAGCCCCTGCTCTGTATAGTTTAGTGTTTTTCTCTGCTGTTCGCACCTCGTTCGGCTCAAGAAGGGATTAATTAGCTAATAATCTCAGGTATTTTAACCAGGAAAACCACAATTATGCAGTGCAGAGGTTGCAGGACTGGACCTGAACTCTCTATTATCTACACTAGCAAACTTACAGAATTACATCTGTCGAAACAGGATGGAGTTTTCCAATCCATGACGTTCAAAATATGCAACTTTATTAACTTCATTTATTTCACTTGTGAAAGATAACAGTCACTACTTAAACAACCCTGAACCCAAATTCATAAGGAATACACTTCCAGAAATACAGAAATCACAGAAAATTCATACCTTGGACGATCACTGTGTAGATATGAATGTCCTCTTTATTCTTGGCATCTCGGATGGTGTAAAATCCACTATCAGACGGCTTCATTTCTCTCAGCACCAGATCAGATGTTAGTGACACTCTGTGCTTATATTCTGTTTTACACCGTAGTGAGCGTCCATTCACTGTACAGAACTGACCACCGAGTCCTCCAGATGTTCTTTTGCTGTTATAAATCACTTCCACTGGATCTGATATGTCCAAATTCAGCACTAGAGATTCTCCTGCTTTTATCTGAACTAGAGTATTCACAGCTGAGGAGAAAAACAATCAAGAACTTCATCAATTGACTACAATTCTGATACTAAACCTAGAATAATAATCACTGGAGTTCAGGCAGTAATGCTCAGCGAAGGAAACAGATGATCACTTACCCTCAATCTTTAGGGCCACATCACAGAGATCTTTACCATCACAGTCACACGTGTACGAAGTCCTCTTACTGTAATCAGCGTCAGTAATGGTGAGAGAGAGATTCCCCTTCAGGTACTGATCATGGATCATCTGATATTCCTCCTTTGATCTGCATGAAGTCTGATCACACTCAGCCAGAACATCACTGGGTGTACTGAACACAGTCCATCTGACCAAACCAGAGCATCTCTCATAGCAGCGCAGAGTAGCGGAGTCATGAAGCTTCACCTTCACTGAAGAATGTGAATCAGGCACTGAAAGACAGAATACGAAAAGGTAAGTTAAGAGTCAGTTTAGTAACAAAATAAGTTAAAATGCTGGTTAAATTGTTACTATTTGTTGAAAAAAATAAATATATACTGGTTTGATTACATTTAGTTGAGTATTAACATCTTAAATGGTAATACATTTCTACTATGTACATTCTACTTATTTATTTCTTCATTAAATCAAATAAACAGCAGAAAACCGAAACTTTAAACAGAATAAATATTGTGAAATATAAATATTAATTATAAATATTGTAGAACTGGAACCATGATGGTGCTTTGTGTTCAAATTCTCCAGTTCAGCCTGGCTAACACAAACAGGCCAGCAATTCCATCACTCTTTCTGGCCAATGTTTGCTCACTGGCTAACAAAATGGATCTGGATTGAGTGAGACTGAGCGTTCATTAGGAGATGAGGCACTGTTGTGTTTTTTGCACAAACTGTTAATGAGCCCCCCAAATGCTAATGATCTGCTCAGGGAATTTTATGATAACATCTGCTCAGTTCAAAACAAGCAGTCGGAGGCACTCTCCCTGATTGTGGGAGACTTCAATCTTGCCATTCTGATAGACATTTTACCAAAGTTTCATCGCTAAAGACTATCATTTTGTGGTCCAGTGACACTGCAACACACACTGCAGAGGTGGACCTGGAGGAGTTTGCATAATCTGTCTTTGATTACATAGGCAAATGTACCACCACCAAAAATAATTACCATTCACCCAGAATCCCCGGCTATATGCAGAGGTCTGTTCTCTGCTTAAAACCCTGGACTCCACATTAAGGTCTGGTGATGCATCAGCCTTCAGAGCAGGCGTTAGGGTTAGCAGCACTGCTGCAGTTTGCACTCTTGCCCACTTTGTTTACATTTAGATTCTCATAGTTTAATTTCTATTCATACCACTTACTTTACAATTATACATATATTTTTATGTTCATTTACCTATTTAATTTAAATGTTGTTTTGTGCATTTTCCTCTTAATTTATTATTGCTGCTACATAGCTGGGACCTAAGTACCTCATTTAATTTCCTTCTTGTTTTAGAACGACAAATTAATCTGAATCTGAACATTAGATTCCCTACCTAATGTTGATCCTAAGTGAGCTTTTCGAAACAACTAAACATACTAGAATTAGCTAGAAACTGTCACGCCTTCCTCTGCTCAGGCTGAGCCTACAGCCAACCCTGCCCCTCAGGACTATGTTTCCCAGAACCCCTCGCTGCATCACATGACAAGGACTCTAATAATTATACACACCTGTTCCTCATTTCATGTGTTTGTTAGTTTAGTACATAGGCCTGGGCTTTAGTCCAGTTTCTTTGCAAAGTATCGTCACATGAATGTGCATACCGAGCATTTCTATTGTTTTTTTCTGCTACTCTGTGTACGACACGTTTTCTCTTTATGACTGTGATTCTAGTGTTGACCTTTTGTCCTGTTCTGATTCTCTTGTTTTAAACCTTCTGCTTGTGTGTACCGACTTTGAGTTTGGATTGCTAGAAAAGGCTAGAAGTGGCCCTATTAGGCTACGTTTACACAGCAGGTAAAAGTGGCCCGATTTTTTTCCTCAAATGTGACACAGATGTGTGTCAGCGTGTCAGTGTGAACAGCAAAAAACACATTGAATCTGACATTTTCAATTCCGATTTGAGACGCTTTCATATGTGGTACAGAAATCCGATACATATCCGATCTGCGGCAATGCGACTCGGTCTGAACAACCAGATCGGAATTCATGCAATCAGATTCGGGCCACTTTTACCTGCTGTGTAAATGTAGCCTTAGTGAGTCGCACTTTACTGAACAGATCTTACCATGGGATGTTTCATCAGTATCTCTGCTGTTATTTGTCCCTTCCACTGGATCCAAAATGTCCAAATTCAGGAACAGTAAGGATGAGAAAAATAAATAAACAAACAAGAACTTTATTGAGCACAGATTTGAAATAAAGCACTGCATCTAAATCACTGGAGTTCTGTTAATAACAGTCAGTGAAGAAAACAGAAACACCTACCTTCAACCTGAAGGTGCACATCACAGATCTCTGAATTACCACACTCACATGTGTATGTGTTGGTCTTACTGAGATCAGCTTCAGTGATAATGAGGGAGAAATTTCCCTTCAGGTACTGATCATGGATCATCTGATATCCCTCCCTCACTGATCTGCATGAAGTCTGATCACACTCAGCCAGAACATCACTGGGTTTATGGGATACAGTCCATCTGACCAAACCAGAGCATCTCTCAGAGCAGGACAGAGTAGCCGTCTCATTGAGCTTCACCTTCACTAGAGGAACAGCTGATACAGACACTGAAAAAGAGAATAAGAAAAGGAGAGTTAAGGATTGGTTTATTAACAGTTTAAGAAATGGTTAAGTTAAATTATTGGATAATTATTGTTACCATTTGTAGAAGAAACAGATTTATAATATATAAATTTAATAGTATAACAGTGTGGACCAGATGCTTGTGGCAAAAACCAGAGTTAGAGACTTTAATGAACAAAGTGGAATAAAATCACTGATCGGTGAGTCTGAATGGACAGGTAGTCTGTGATTGGTTGATGATGTGTTGTCAGAGTCACGCGTTCCCCAGAGGGAATCTGGGAGTTGAAGTCTTGGTTGTGATTGGTAAGTGGAGAGTTGTGGACTACAGGTGTGACAATTCACTTTTCACTCCCTTGACATACATGTATTTGTTTAACATGGGTCTCATAATCCAGAGAATATATCAGAATATCATCGATGTAAGAGACAATGAATTCATCAGTCATGGCTCGCAAAGTGTCATTAATGAAAGCCTGGAAGATGGAGGGGCCATTAGAGAGCTTGAATGGCATGACTAAATACTCATAGTGCCCCCTAGTGGTGACGAAGGCAGTCTTCCATTTGTCATACTCGCTTAAACCTAGCCAGGTTGCAGGAGCTTCTGAGGTAAAGTTTTGTGAAAAACTTGGCTCCTCTGAGTTGTTCCAATGCGATGGGAATGAGAGGTAAAAGGTATTTTCTATAATCTATGTACTTTTGACAAAGAAGAAGCCAGCTGCAGCAGGACAGATAAAACTTTGGTTAAGGGCTTCTTGGATATACTCCTCCATAGCCCTCTCCTCGAGTGAAAGGATTGACTTGTGATTTTGAAAAAGCAACACTCTCAGTGAGGTCAATAGTGCCGGAATAGGGGTGATGAGGAGGAAACGATGCGTTTTTGAGTTAAGGTCTTGGTATTTGGGGGTAAAATGAATAGGGGTATCAGAGTTTCTATGGTAGTGTAACGTAGGAATGTAGGATAGTAGAAAGTAAGATAATGCAAATAACTATCCTGACAACATGCTGACCAAATGCTGACAAAAACTCTTGGTCAGACCAAAAAAATGAGGGGATTGTTTCTCTAACCATGGTAACCCAAAAATCATTGAAAACTCTGAAGAGTCCAACATGAGAAATTATAATGCATTAGTAGGTTGTATGATATGGGTTATGGATCCTCATCTGACTGGCTCTCCAGAAGAACTTCTATAAAATAATATTTGAGCTGCAGCCTATTTGTATAGATACTGGAGAAAAGACTGACCACAGGAGTACATCAAATTCTGAACCTGTCATTGATCCAAAGTGACCTTTCAGAACAACTAAACAAACAGGAATCAGCCAGAACTTACCAGTAGTGAGTGTGATCAGTAAGATCAGGACACAGTGTGCAGAGCTACAGGACTGCATCACTCAACTACAACAGGAATCCTAAAAAGACACATAAAGATCAATAAATAAGAAATCACCTACATCTAAACAACAGATGTTCTGACAATAAAATAAAAGTTCAACATCTGCACTACTGTCAGCATTATTCAGTAAACCCTCTCATTGCTAATGTTTTTGTTGTTTTTTGTATTGTAAGAGGTTCTCACTTTCGGAAAATGAGTCAATACTAGTAGTTGTTCTTGTTTTAGTTTTCTAAAGTTCTCCCTCTAAACCTCCCACTGTTGTTCATGCAACATAAAGAAATGTGTATAAAAAAAGAGATTGTGAACAAGTTATGATTACACCCGGAACGAATGGTAAAAAAGTCAAAGTAAAATGTTTCCTTTTTTGTATTTGTATTCTTGTTTTTCTGCATGACACACCCACACTGTACAGAACACACAACCAAACTGTGATTTATCCTTGTGCATTTGCAGTGGTTGAATATAGTAACTGGCTAACTGGAGTTACTCACACTTGAACATAAATAGTAGAGCTTTCACGTTTGAGCCAGATCCTTTGAACTTGTGATTTTGATGTTTGAAAATGGAAGTCATGGAGTTGAAGCATGTAAAAGTTCTAAATGCAGTTTAAGTCAGTGGGCTCACACACACTGAGGCAGACAACAAAGTCTTTGAAGCAATTTGTATTGTTTTAAGCAATTTGGATCTGTAGAGAGATTGATTGAAGTACCTACCTCTAACAAAGAAGAAAAGGTCATTGCTGAATTTCAGTATGATGCTACAGTTAGAGAACTCGAGATTAAGTACTTATCTTACTCCAGATCTTGCAATGCAGACCCAGAAATCATTTCTCAAATCCACCGACTTGTAAGTGTTTATATAAGTGACATTGGCACCTCTGCCACTACCACTTACTTAACAGAACTCAAAGACTTGGCAAAAAGAAGTGGCAGACCATTTGAAAAAGTTTTGACAGAGAAGTTAGCCTGGCTTAAGGATTCATTTGAACATGGGGCACAAGCTGAAGACCAAGAAAGCCATCTAGACTGCAAAATACTTCCCTTAAAAACTGAACATCAACCTATGCCATTCACTGCAACCCAACCCTGTGTTCAGATGGTGTAGAGTCTCAACTAAAATGTCCCAAAATCTCCCTTTGTTAACCTGGAGAAAATCCTTACCTGCAAGCCAAATCAGACCTCCAGAGGTTCAGCGTGTTAACGTGGAGTACATTTTTAAATGTGGTGAGGTCATGAATTAAACCAGTTCCATTGAAAAGTTGAAGCCTTTCTCTGGAAGTGTTTCTCGTTCTGTATTTGAAGTTGACTGTGATGCATGGTACAGCCGTGTGGAATTTTGCCTGAATGATCCCTCACAATCTGAGTCAGGGCTGTTAACAGGCAGGAGACTGCGTGCCTGGAGGCTGCCTCTATTGTCACTGGGCACTTTAACAAAGCAAACTTTAGGGAAGTCGCTCCAAAGTACTTCCAACACATCTCATGCAGCACACGAAAATCATGCACGCTGGATCACTGGAGAGGTCCGCTGCTGGTCAGACCAATCAGATTCTGCACTCCAGGATCGTTTTGATGACGTAAACTGGGAGATGTTCTGCAAGGCGTCAAACAATAAGATTGACGAATATGCAGACTGTGTTATGTTGTGCCCACAAAAACAGTTTGTGTTTACCCCAATGAGAAACCATGGCTCAACTGTGAGGTCAGGGCAGCCCTGAACCTGCGTACCGCTGCTTTAAATCAGGAACCACGGATGAGCATAAAAAAGCCAGCTATGCTCTCCGTAAAAAAACATAAGAGCAGCCAAACGCAAGTACAGGGCTAAAGTGGAGTCACAGTTCAACACCACCAACACAAGAAGCCTGTGGGAGGGGCTAAATACAATAACAGACCTGACTGCATTCCTGCATGTGCTCTCAAAGCCTGTGCACATCAGCTGGCAGGAGTGTTTATAGGCATTTTAACCTCTCACTCTCAGCTGTTCCCGCGTGCTTCAAACTGGCCACCACTGTGCCAGTTCCAAAGTCAGTCAGGGTTAATACTCTACATGACTGGCGCCTGGTTGCTCTGACCTCCATCATAAGCAAGTGCTTTGAGACGCTGGTCAGAAACTTTGTCTGCTTCTCACTACCGGCCACTCTGGACCCACTACAGTTACAACAGACAGAACAGATCCACTGACTGATAGCCCTGACTCTACACACTGCCCTCTCCCATCTGGACAAAAAGAACCCATATGTGAGAATGCTGTTTGTGGACCACAGCTCAGCATTCAACACCATCGTGCCCTCACGGCTCGACATTAAGCTTCAGGATCTGGGTCTGAACAGTTCTCTGTGCTGCTGGGTCCTGAACTTCCTGACGGGCCGACGCCAGGTGGTAAGGATGGGCAACATCACCTCCTCCTCACTGACCCTTAACACCAGAGCTCCTCAGGGCTGTGTGCTCAGCCCTCTCTTGTACTCTCTGTACACCCTCTGTACTCTCTGTTCAGCCAGACACAGCTCCAATGTCATCATCACACTTGTAGATGACACCACGATTGCGGGTCTGATCTCCAGTGACAATGAGGAGGGCTACAGAGAGGAGGTCAGCTTCCTGACACTCTGTTGCCAGGAGAACAACCTCTCTCTCATTATCGACAAGACCAAGAAGCCCATAGTGGACTTCAGGAAGCAAGAGAGAGTGCACACCCCCATCACCATTAATGGAGCCACTGTAGAGGGTCAGTGTATATATATATATATATACACATTATAATTTATTCTGTCTATATTAAGTTTTAAAAAATTGCTATACAACCAGTTAACAATGCTGGACAGACATGTTACGAGTTTGTCTAGTGTAGTGACATCATCTGGAGTTACAGATATATATAGTTGTGTATCATCGGCATAATTATGAATATTGATGCCATGTTTCTTAATCATCTGACCCAGTGGCAGTATATACAAAGAAAATAGAAGTGGATCAAGTACAGAGCCTTGTGGTACACCACAGAGCATATCATGCTTATTTCAAACATGTTCACCTATACTTACAAATACTATCTTCCAGTTAAATATGTACAGAACCAGTTTAACACACTTCCAGAAAAAAACAACTAAATCCTCAAGCTAATATAGGGGTATGCTCCGGTCTATAGTAGTAAATGCAGCAGTTAAATCCAGAAGCGCAAGTACAGAGTCATGACCTGCATCATCATTTATTCTCAGATCACTCACTAATTTCACTAACGCTGTTTCAGTGCTGTGATTTACTCTGAAGCCAGACCGGAATTTTTCATGGATATTGTGCTCATTTAAGAAATCATGAAGCTGTGAGAAGACTATGTTTTCAGTTATTTTACTCAAAAATGGAAGGTTAAAGAATGGCCAAACAAGGGTATGTTTCTTCAATAACGGCCTTTCAACTGCTATTTGTGTGTCTGGAAAAGTACAATTTACAATGTTCAACACATTTAGACAAAGTCTGTCAAATACTTCTTTAAAATGCTGTTGGAATAATATCTAAAACACAGGTGAAGAAATGTAGCTACGTGACAACTTTCCAAGTTCTCTCTCATTAATCCTTTAAAAACTAAAGTGTTCCACTGTTGAATAAAACTAGAGTCTATTATTGGTACTTTTGGAGTTGTAAAACGTGACTTAATATTAATTACTAAATATGAATGCCAAATCATTACATTTGGTTAACATTGGTTAATTTAGAATTTAAAGGGCGATCAGTTATTAAAAATAAATCTCTTGGTTTGAGTCTGTTGTCATTAATATGTTAATAGTGTGTCATCACTCTGTTTGTACTGTGTTGTTAATGCGGTTTTTAAGTATTTCATAGTGAATAGTTAGTTTACTTTTCCCGCATTTCCTTTCTGCTTTCAACAATCCCTTTTCAGTTCGTTCATCTGTTCATTTTTCCACGGCACTTTTGTGGTCAAGGACTTCTCTTTAGGTTTTTTTTTTGGTGCAACACTATCTAGATCTTAGCTAACAGTGAAAATTGCTGACCATATCGAGGCCTGTCGAGTTAACATGTAGATGAGGTTTGTACTGTTTCTTCTTTTTGTTAATATGTATTTCATGTCAACAGAAGCAGACAAACTAAAAAACACAAAGTAATAATCTGAGATAGTGATGTCCAAAATTTCATTTATGTTAATAAACAATGACAACAACAACAACAATAATAATAATAACAAATATAGCTGCAAGCGGTGACTTGCGGGGGTCCAAGCTTGCTTTGCAAGTTTTCCCAACATTGCTATTTTGGCCACGACCCTCCACGGGTACATGTAAGTAAATATTAGTATATGTAAATAAACTTTAACCAGGAATGTAAATAAAAATAGAATGCAATCATATATACAAATCATGTTAACCATATTTTTTAAAGGAAAATACTACAAAGACAACATATCAAATGTTGAAACTGAGAAATTTTATTGTTTTTTGAAAAATGTATGCCCATTTTGAATTTAATGCCAACAACACGTTCCACAAAAAGTTGGAACGGGGGCCTGTTTACCACTGTGTTTCATCACCTCTTCTTTTAACAGCATTCTGTAAGTGGTTCTGAACTGAGGAGACACTGCTGTAGTTTTGAAAGTGAATTTTTTTCCCATTCTTGTTTAATGTAAGATTTCAGCTGCTCATCAGTTCAGGGGCTCCTTTATCATATTGTTTTATTTCATAATGCACCAATGTTATCAGTGGTGACAAGTCTGGATTGCAGGCAGGTCAATTTAGTACCCAGACTCTTTTAATACAGAGATATGCTGCTGTATTACATGCAGAATGTGGTTTGACATTGTCTTGCTGAAATAATCAAGGCCTTCCCTAAAAAAGACGTCGTCTGGATGGCAGCATATGTTGCCAAAACATGTATATATCATTCAGCATTAATGGTGCCTTCACAGATGTGCACGTCACCCATGCCATGTGCGCTAATGCCCCCCTATACCATCATGAATACTGGCTTTTGAACTGTGCACTGATAACAAGCTGAGTGTTTTTTAGCCTGG